TGGTTGGTTTAAAACCAAACAATTCAATTTGATTATTGATTAAATGTTTAGTCCTTTTGACCACATTTCATCAACCAGGTGAGGTTTTCGATCTCCTTATAACTTAAGGATTTATAACAGAATCTGTTCTAGGTACGAGCCTATAGAACAGATTCTGTTCAAGTAAGGTCTTGATTAATGCTGTGAGAAAAGTTATTATATTATGTTTATAATGGTTCAAGGCCACCGGTGTGGGAAAAGAAACCGTATACGCGAACTTTCTCTCTTATTCTCTATTGCTGTCTGCTTCATCACTTTGACCCGGGTAGTAAAAAGAGGGGACTGAAATAAAGCTGTGAGTTTATTTATTGTCTATCTATATATTTCTGGTTCCAATTCCAACTTGCTGACTTAGTGATGTGAGCAAATTTGCAATTTTTTCCTTGTGTCTGAAACGTTTCATTCTCTTCTTCCAATATTCGTGATTAGGGGTGCAAATGAGTCGAGCTGCTCGTGAGCTGCTCGCTCAAAGCTCGAATCGAGATCGGTCAAACTCGAGCTGGAGTAGAGCTCGAGCCGGTTCGTTAAGCAGTAGATCCATAAACGAGCCTACTAATTTTAGGCTTGTTGGCTCGCGAGCCTAGTTTTATATATGTGTATATTTATATTAATATATACTTTGTATAATATATTAATATACAATATAAATTAATATATAATACGTAGTATATGTTAGTATATATAATATATAGTATATATATATATGTGAATTCAATCGGGAAGACAGTCAAATGATTTTTGGAAGTTAACTGCGCAGTTTATATACATATAAAACGCAGTTATCTTCTAAAAATCATTTGAGTGTCTTCCCGGTTGAATTTTTAGCTAAAATTTGGTATGGATAAACTAGACTTGATGAGGAACATGCTCAAAAAATTTCATCGAAAAATTCCACCAGGAAGGCCTTCAAAACGTGGAGGCCGCACGGCGGCTCCGGTAAGGTAATACCATTCATAAATGTATATGAGGACCGGGGAGATATTATTAATTATTAAGTAATTTAACAAAAATAATCAAAGTTTCATCCACTATTTCCTCATGGTTTGACCACTTTGATTTATATTAGAAGTACAACTGGGTGGAGACTAGAAGTTAGGATTATATTTGTTTATTTCCCCGTAAAATTTTGTCGTTGGGCATGTAAATTGCAATTTGAAAATGTTAAGCACAAATATTTAAAGATTGTTTCATACTTGAGCTTGAGTTCGAACCCGAACTTTCGAGCTAATTGAACTTGTAACTTTTGACGAACCAAAATTATATAGCCTTATCGAGCCACGTTAATATTTGCAAGTCGAGCTCGAGCCCGGATTTTTTAAGTCCGCTCGAGCCAATACAATACATTCGAGCCCGAGCTCGAGCCTACATAAACTCGGGCTCGGCTCGTTTGCCCCCTATTCGTGATGATTGATGTATAAATACGACGTGGAGTATTTTATAACTTATGCTATTTGTGGATGATATTTCTGGCTAAAGATGTTCAATAATGCAGATTGCAGAGTATGGTATTCTTTAATCCAATGGATTTCATAGATAAGCATTATTCATTCTAACACACTTATTTCCTTCTGATCTCCACATTTCTTGTTCAAATCATTCCTTATTATACAACATGGATATTGATTATCCATATTATTATTCATAGATAAAGAAATTTATCTATATATATGACTAAAGCATTCACGAATTCCGAATATATGATTGACAAACTTAAATGTGTCTTTATATGAGTAATATAATAATTAAATTGAAGGGAGAAAAATAACATACATCCTGATGGATAGTCTACCCGGGGTATCTTATCCGAGGGGTTATTGCGGGAATAACTAGAGAGAAGTCATAGTAAATAGGAGGAGAGAGAGTCGATTTTATTAAATGAACTCAGCGTGTGGAGTTGAGGTGTAGATCCTCATTTACAAGGAGGAATGGGCTGCTATTTATAGCAGCAATAAATGCGATGAGGGGACACGTGTCAGTAATCCAACGGCCGAGGGGTCACATCAGCCGGTTGGCACCGGCAGTGGTACGTCCACCGCATTGATTGCGGTTGGCGGATGTGACGTGGCATTAAATGCGGTGGTTGGCTGTCTCTAAAAGGAATCTTCGATGATTGAGCTAGTTTAGCTGAAGGCTACTTGTGTAGCCGAGAGCTCCTTGTGCAGCCGAGGGCTCCTTGTGTAGCCGAGGGCTTCATGTATGGCCGAAGGCTCGATGTGTAGCCGGAGGCTTGGTTCAGCCGAGGGCTTCCCCTGGTGCCGAGGGCTCCATAGTGCCGAAGGCTAATGTTTTCGCCCGTTTTCTCCCGGCAGCTTCTTGTGCCAAAGAAGGCTTATCCTGTGAGTTTTGGAGCCTTCGGCCAAGCAGGCCGAAGGCCCCCAGTGTGTATTCTGGGCCACTTTGAGGCTTGGGCCGTTGTATTTGGGCCTGAGTTGTTTCCTGAGCTCAATGGACTTGTGTAGGAGAAGTAGGAGTCTATGGGCCGGGGGTTCCTGGGCCATATACTCCATCAGGAGTCCCTCACTCCTTTTGCCGAAAGGTACTTGAGGGAAAAGGAGTAGATGTGTTGCTTCTCCTGAAGGCTTCTCCATTTCGCTGGGTGCTCTTGCTGGAGAACTTGTCTTCTGTTGATTGCCGAAGGCTTCCCTCAGTCCCTCACATGTCGAGGGTTTTCTGAGGGAAGGTATTCATAACCTTCGCATGTTCGCTGGGGGCTCCCCTCAGTGCCTCCCATGTCGAGGGCTTTCTGAGGGCAGTATAACACCTGTATGACTGCAGAAGGCTTTCCTCAGTCCCTCACATGTCGAGGGTTTTCTGGGGAAGGCACAGGTGTATCGCCTGCGTGTGTTGTGATGAGGGCTGCTTTATTTCCGTAAGTGACTTGTGGAAAACTTATGATATCCTGCCTCTGCCGAAGGGTTCCACTTTGATGTTTGTCCGGAGGCTGCACGCGTCAATTGTAAATTGTTTGTTTCTAAGGAATTTTTTGTTGTATATGATCCCCGAGGGGTGTATCCCAGTCCCCCACTCCTTTAGGTCAAAAGTTAGTTCGGGCTGAAGGAGTTATGATGTGTTGATGCAAACCCGAGGGGTGATATCATTGATAAGCTAGGTGCTTATGCTGCCGCAGGCTTGAAGGCGCTATGTTGGAATGCATTGGCTGAAGGCTGTGGGAGTGTTAGCCGGAGGCTGCAAAGATGAGCTCGCCTCAAGTTTTTAAAATAGAGCCGTTGGAATAGAGCCGTTGGAGAGGGGTTCCACGTGTCAAGTTTTTGGTGGCTGAGAGTGGGCGGATGGCACCTATTGGTCAAATCGGCGGCATGTAATGATGGCTTTTCAAACGGAGGCCCATACATCGAGGCCCAAAAGCCTATAAATACCCAAGGCCAGGGCCATTTGTTTTGTGCGTTCCTTAAGCTATAGCGAAGCTCTGCCAAATTTTCTAGAGAGATAAACTCCCGCCCTCGATCAGACTAATCTTTCTGAGGTCAGTTCTTCTTTTGTTCTTCGTGGCCTTAGTATATTTTGCTTCCATCTCTTTAGATCTAGTGTTAGGGAAATCGTAGGGCCCTGAGTAATTATTTCCTTCCCAAAAACCCTACGACGGCCATTCTCGAGCAATGTCCTCCGGTAGCGACTCTCAGGATATTTCAAGGGAGCCTTCGGCACAGCAGGAGAGCTACTCGGATGTGGAGTCGTCGAGTGAGCAGCCGTCGGCTAATAACGACTTCGTGGTAGCTGAGGAGGTACAAAAATCCCTTCGGGCCGAGTTGGAGGCCGAAGACTTTGAACAAGTGAATGAGGATGAGGAGTTGGCCCTCGCTCTGCAAATCGCCGAAGAGGAGGATGAAAAGGAGCGCCGCCAGGTGACAATTGCAGTCATGCCCTCTCGGGGAGCTGGTGAAGCGAGCACCTCCCGGCCTTTGGACGCTCAGCCCCTCCGGGTGGCCGAGGGGAAAAAGAAGAAGAAGCCGAAGGCCGTTCCAAAGAGAAAGCAAGCGGTTGTTGACGCCGGGCGACCGGTTGGAATTCCCGAGGGGTATTCGTACTTGGATACCACCGCTCTTGAGGTGACTACGACGGCCTCGGGTGCCGATTGCCAAACCCTCCAGGTCCTTGTTGGACCTTCAGCCCAGGTCGTGGAGCCGGGGCCCGAAGACTTGTTATCCCATCCCCCTGAGGGGTGTTTTTCCGTGCATATGCTGTCGGTGGAGCTGGGGCTCAGATTCCCACTCCATTCCTTTGTCCTGGAGTACCTCAGATACGTGAAGCTGGCCCCCTGCCAACTCACCCCAAACAGCCATTATTATCTGGCAGGGTTCCTATCTTTGTGCCGTAGCCGGAAGGTGGAGGCTACGTTGGAGCAATTCTTTCTCTCCTTCAATCTATGCCGGGGGGGACATTCTCACGCCGGGGGATATGCCAACCTGCAGCGGGTGCCGGCCTGGAAGCTGTTTTCTGAGACCCCTTCCTCCCACAAGGAATGGAAGGAGAAGTTTTGCTACATCAGGCTGGCTTCAAACCCATTCCCGGGGGCTCTCAACAATTACTTCAAGAGGCACCCGAAGGTGGGTAGTGCGGCCCTCCAGAAGGCCGGCAAGAAGCTGATGGAGAAACCCGAGGGCTCGGATAAAGTCATCGCTATCAAGCAGGCCACGTTGGCCGAGGATCTGTATCTGCTGGGCTTCCGGAGGTATCGCCTTCCGGGGGATAAAGATGAGAAGTATCCCCTGATTGATCGTGGGTACTTAAACTCCGGAGGTTGTTGCCGAGGGCTTTGATTTTTGGTACTTAGAAAATTTTCTCTTTCATTTGTTGTGGCTCTAACCATTCCTTATCTTGTGCAGGTGATATTATGGATCCGAAGGCGTTCGCCAAGCTGACCAAGAAGCTGGCCAAGGAGCCGAGGAAGAAGAAGGAGGAGGGGTCCTCGGCGAACCAGCCTCTTGTTGATGAGGTGTTGAAGAAGGGGGGGGCTCCCAAGGTCCCGGAGGGTGGGGACCTCTCCCAAAAACCCGTTGCTGATTCCGGTGCTGGTGCCGGAGGCTCCCAAGACGGGGAGCTAAAGAGGAAAAATGCCGGGAAGGGTGTCTTGCCCCCGGAGAAGAAGAAGAGGGGTGAGGGGGGCAAGGATGCCCCCTTAGTGATTATCGATGAACCCCCTTCGGGTAAGCCCTCGGATTCCCTCCCCCAAGTGGATCTTGACGAGGGGGCTTGGCCCCTGGAAAAGGTGCAGTTCCCCATCAAGAAGGGGACAGCTATTATGCATGGCACCCTTGATCCGAGGGAGTTCCTGAGGGGCGCCACTCCCTCGCTGGATCGATCAACCCTCGGCAAGTTCGAGGACGAGTCTCTCGAGCTCAAGGCCCTTCAAGCCTCGGTCACGGTAAGTGCCTTTCCCTTTCTTAACTTTTGTCCCGGGTTTCCCTATCTTTGCATAATTTGATCCCGAGTGCTCCTTTATCTGTTTGCAGTCGAGCATTGCCCTCGGGGAGCTAGTCAGGAGGGCGGAACAGCGCCGTGTTGAAAGGGCGAGGTCTGAGGAGGCCATGCGGAAGCTGATTGCTAATAACACCGAGGCCATCAGGCAACTGGCCGGTCTGGAGGAGGCCCTAAGGCAATCTGAGCAGAGGCTAGAGGCTGCCAAAAATGAGGCTAGGGCCGAGGGCATCGCTAATGGGAAGGCTGAAGCAGAGAAAACTGCCGCCGAAGCCGCCAAAGCCGCCGCCGAGGAAGCTGACAAGGCCAAAGCCGATGCCGTCGCCAAAGCCACCGAGGATGCCGTTGCTTCTTTTGTTGCCGATGGCTGGAAGGCCGAAGAGTACCAGCAGTGGGTGGCCTCGGTGGTTGAGGCCAAAGCGGATGCCTGGGTGAAGGGCCCCGGGGCAATGTGGCTTGCCCTGAAGGGGAAAAGTTTTTACGAGGGCGCCCAATACTTTACTCAGGCTATGCTGTACCGGAGGCTGGCCCGACACCACGGCGTAGATCCGAAGGAGTTTCAGCCTGAAGCTTATGGCCTCCCCCCCCCCCTTCTGCCGGACGTGAGGGTTCCTTTGCCCGAGGGTGAAGAAAGGGAGCTGCTCGAGGACTCGGAGCTGGCCCGATGCGATTCAGATGGCGACGGAGCCGAAGAAGATGCCTCCTCGAAGCCGAAAGAGGACAGAGCTGAGAATGCTCGAGTTTAAAATTTGTTTAAGCACAACTTGTAATAGTTAAATAGGCTTCCGGCCCCGGCCTCATGTTGTAAACAGATATCCCTTATACTTCAATTATTTAGTTTTGAATGAATGATGTGCCTCCGGGCTTTTTGTATGAATGAATGCCTCATTTTTCTCCAAGTTTTGTTTGCCTTCGTTCCTTTTCCTTATGAATGTATGCCTTTCGTTACTATGTATTCTTTCCTTCTTCTGCCTGCTTTCCCGGAGGCCAAAAGTTTGTGGACTTAGAAAATTTTCTAAGTGAGACCAGACCAGGACCCTTCGGCTGTAAAGTAGAATTACCGGGGGGTCGTTGCTTGTGTACTTAGAAGGCTTTCCAAGTAAAACTTGATTGGAACCCTTCGGATGTTTTGTAGAATCACCGGAGGCTCGTGATTGCGGACTTAGAAAAATTTCCTAAGTAAGATTCCATCGCATGTCTTCGGTGATGAACCATTGGGATTGCTTCCGGGATGTAGCAATAGGACCGAGGGCTAAGGTGAATTAGATTTAGGAAATGTCCCAAGTGCAGTTGCTTCTAATGCCTCCGGGAAGCTTGGAATCCTTTGTTTAGTAGTGTAGCTTTAGGTCATGGCCAAGTGGCTTAGGGGAGCCACCGACCACGAATCTGTAGGTGAAGAATTGCCCCCGAAGGGTCTCCCATTCGTGGACTTAGCAATCTTTTCACGAAGTTTCAATAGGTGCTGTAGTGAACCCTCGAGCGTGGGAACTGCCCGAGCCCCCGGTGCATATGATTGCCGGGGGATTCGAGATCATGGACTTGGTGAAATTCTGAGATGTGTTTCCAACAGATTTTGTGAGTAGCCCCTCAGTTCGGTGAGTGTTTCCCGAAGGATGCGAACACATGGACTTAGAAATTTTTCCTTGTTGAATGAGCCTGGTGACATTCTGCCTTCGGCATGAGGCCTCCGGTTTGTGTAGATATAGGTTTAGCTTGCCTTAGAACTTTGTGAAGCCTTCGGCATTTCACATAGTTGACTTTGATCCAGCCGAATTCGTCATTAGCCAAATTTAGGTGAAGTTTTGCTTAGTGTGCCTTCTTCTTGGACTTCCGGGGGAACTGTTGTACTCCAAGGCTTTATGTAGTGGAGCCTTCGGCCATGTAGCTAGATGATTTGTTGTTGCGAGATCTTCTTGTGCCTTTGTAGGAGCCTTCGGGAATATATATCCGAAGTTTTTAGCCTCCGGGGAGAGTAGTATCCGGGGAGTTCCTTCCCCCCTACACATCTTCTATTTTTTTTTTTTTTTTTTTTTTTTTTTTTTTTAAGATGGTGTAGGAGAGGCATCTAGAAACTTGGTTTCTAGGGAAGGCTTGGCCTGTATGGGAGGCAACGGAACGAACCGTTGGCTCCCCCTTCGGGAATGACCTTCCGATATCCCGAAGGGTTTGAGGGTCGTTTCCTCGGCCCGAGACATCGTCTGTTGCCTGCTTCCCCTTGGGAGATAGCACGGAAAGCGCCTCGGTTTTGAAAGTCGTCCCCTCAGCCCGAGACATGGTCTGTTGCCTGCTTCCCCTTGGGGGATAGCGCGGGGAGCGTTTCGTTTGTGGAAGTCGAATCCTGGGCCCGGGACATGGTCCGTTGCCTGCCTCCCCTTGGGGGATGGCGCGGAAAGCGTTCCTGGGAAGGGTTTTATTTGTGTGTGGGACACAAATAGCCGGGGGCACTTGGTACCAGCCGGAGCCGAGGGGTGTTACACCCCCCGGTTTTTTTTTTTTTTTTTTTTTGGAGGATATGTAAAAGTGTGCATAATGTATGCATGATTGCGCCCTCGTGGGGTACGGCTTAGTGAGAAAACACTTGGTGTTTTCCAAGAGTGATGGGGGTGACCCATACACTTGGTACTTGGTACCTAAATTGTTGTTCCCCTTCATCAGAGGGAGAGGCCTTGGGCCTATTTTGGCGGAGAAATGAGGGCTTGGCCACTCATGTGTAGGAGAGAAGGGGGCCTTGGGCCGTTTGTACAATATGTAGGTGATGAGGGCTTGGCCTCGCGATTATTCTTCAAAAACAGACGGGGCCTTGGGCCATTGATCATTTACACTTGTTGAGGATGAGGGCTTGGCCACTCATTGGTAAAACTTCACTAGGTGGTGCACATTCCAATGTCTAAGAATCTCTGTCCCATTAGGACGTTTTAGCTTGTATGTCCCTGGTTTGATGATGGCTGAGATGATGTAGGGGCCTTCAAACTTAGGCGCCATCTTGCCGCCTTCGGTGCGTAGACTGGCCTCCCTTCGTCGGAGGACGTAGTCACCCACCTGAAATTCCCGAGAGCGGACCTTTGCGTCGATGTAGCCTTTGACTTGTCTCCTGTAGTTTTCGGCTTTGAGGAAAGCTTGCTCTCGGCGTTCCGAGATGAGATGAAGGTCGAGGGCCATGTTGGCGTCGTTGGCCTCGGGCTCATATTGTTCCACCCTTCGGGTGGGAAGGGTCACTTCTGTTGGAGCCTTTGCCTCAAAGCCATAGCATAGGGAGAAGGGTGTTTCGCCGGTTGCACGCCGAGGGGTGGTGCGGTAGGCCCATAAGATGTTGTGGAGCTCTTCTACCCAGCCTCCCCCTTCGGCTTCCAGTTTCTTCTTTAATCCTTCGAGGAGGGTTCGGTTGGCGTTCTCCACTTGCCCGTTGCCCTGAGGGTAGGCAACGGAAGAGAATGTGTGCTTGATGCCCCAAGCCTCAAGGAGGGCACAGAAGGGGGCTGCCTCGAATTGAGTCCCGTTGTCGGAGATGATTTGTTGGGGGACGCCAAACCTTGTGAGAATGTTCTTGAGGACGAAGTGACGGCACCGGGCCTCCGTGATGCTGGCGAGGGGTTCGGCTTCTACCCATTTGGTGAAGTAGTCAATGGCCACAATGATATACCTGTTGTTGGAGGTACCCCTCGGCAGAGGGCCTACCAAGTCGATCCCCCATCTGGAGAAGGGTATAGCAGTGCTGATGGGGGCATAGTTGACCGCTGGTCTGCCGGGGGCCTTCTGAAAGTGCTGGCAGGCGGTGCACTTCCGGGCTAGATCAGCACAATCCCTAGCCATCGTGGGCCAGAAGTAACCTTGAACAATGAGCCTTCGGGACATGGAGAAGGGTCCCTGGTGAGCTGAGCAAGTGCCACTGTGCACTTCTTCCATGGCGACTTCGGCTTCATCTTGATGAAGGCACCGAAGGAGGGTGCCGTTGTAAGATCTCTTGTAAAGCCTCCCGTTTTCGAGGGTATAGCTGGGAGCCCTCAGTTTTGCTAACTTGGCGCGAGCTTCGTCTTGGGGCAATTGCCCTGTGGTGATGAAGGTGACGATGTCGGAGATCCAATCCTCCGGCCTTAGGTTAATGCTCATGACGGGGCTTGCGTGGATGCTTGAGAGGCTGAGTTCCTCAATTCTTGCAATCTTCGAGAGGTGCTCGGGGGATTCATCCGAGAGCTTGGATAGAATGTCGGCCTCAGAGTTTTGAGCCCTCGGTATTTGGGTGAGGGAATGTGCCTCAAATACCTCAAGCAACTCCTTGGCAGCCTCCTTGTATTGTTTCATCCTCCCTTCTTTGGCTTCGTACTCCCCGGAGATTTGACCCACGACGAGTTTGGAGTCACACTTGACGTGGATCATCTTAGCCTTCAGATTCGCTGCCAGCCGAAGGCCACAGAGGAGGGCTTCGTACTCGGCTTCGTTGTTGGAGACTTTGAAGGAGAAGCGGATGGCATAATAGGCGCGGAAGCCCTCGGGAGTAATGAGGACTACTCCCCCTCCACATGCTTTGGTGGCCGAGGAGCCATCGGTATAGAGGGTCCACCACTCATCAAGGGGTGCCGAAGGCTCCCCATCCACCGCTGATCTCGCGGTGCATTCCGTTACGAAGTCTGCCAGGGCTTGGCCCTTAATGGCAGGCCTCGGACGGATGTCTATGTTGTATTGGCTGAGGAAGATGGCCCATTTTACCATCCGGGAGGAGCTAGTGGGACTCCTCATGAGGGCGCCGAGGGGTTGATGAGTGAGCACTTGAACTGGATGAGCTTGAAAGTAGTGGCCAAGCTTCTTGACGGTCCACACGATGGCTAGCACCGTCTTCTCAACGGGAGAATACCTTAGTTCGGCCTCCCGGAGGGTTTTGCTGACGTAGAAGATGGCATGTTGGATGCCGTCTTCCTCTCGGATTAGTACTGAGCTGATAGCCGCAGAGCTAACACCGAGATATAAGTATAAAGTCTCCCCCACCTTTGGTTTGGAGAGCACTGGGGGAGAGGAGAGGTACCTCTTGAGTTCATCGAAGGCCTCTTGACATTCAGATGTCCATTGAAAACCCGCCGTCTTCCTCATGATTTGGAAGAAGGGGAGAGCCCTCTCGGCTGACTTTGAGAGGAAACGGTTGAGGGCTGCCAGGCGACCCGTCAACCGTTGGACTTCTTTGACGTTGCGTGGAGGCTCCATGTTGATGATGGCCTGAATCTTTTCGGGGTTGGCCTCAATACCCCTTCGGCTTACCATGTAGCCCAAGAACTTTCCTCCCTGCACGCCAAAGGTGCACTTCTTTGGATTTAGCCGG